GGGGGGGGGGGGGGGGGGGGGGGGGGGGGGGGGGGGGCGATGGGTCGGGCGGGCTTTTGCCGGCGGGCTGCTGGATGGCCGGCATTTTTTTTTGACATTGTATTCCACTCCTCAGCCCCTGCGCCCCGGCCCGGGCTTGCCTCTCTATTCCCCCACACCTCCGCGTCTTCTTGCCCTCCGGATTTGCCTTGCCTTGCCTGTGCCTCTTGCTTCCAGCTGGACACCATGCGGCTCAATGAGTCAACCCTTGTCGTGGGGCAGCATGTCTGCCTGGTCCCGTATCTCCGCGAGCATGTGGCCACCTATCACCAGTGGATGGGCGACCCAGAGCTGCTGGAAGCCACGGCCTCCGAGCGGCAGTCTCTGGAGAGCGAAATGGAAAACCAACAAAGCTGGCACGCCAATCCCGATATCCTGACTTTCATCATCATTGACAAGGCCCAGATGCTTGCCACTCCGGTGGCCAAACGCACAGTCACGTCTGGTGCGTTGCGCTGCCCCCTCCTCTCTCCACCTCCTGCTCTTGCCTAGGTGCACTTTTCTCTGTCCCCCTTCCCCTCCCCCCTCTCCCTTCCTCCTGCCGATGGCCCGATGTCTCTTCCGCTGCTTACCATGCATACCATTCTCGATGGGGGCGGGCCCTTCACGCCGCTCAGGCATGATTGGCGATATCAATGCCTTTATCCAGCCGGATCGGCGTTTTGAGGCCGAGTTGTCGGTTATGATTGCCGAGCCGACCGCCCGGCGGAAGGGCTTTGCCCGCGATGCGGTCCTCACTTTCCTTCGGTACTGTATGTGACCCGCCGGAAGCCCGGGAGTCTGCTTGTGCAACCCGATCCCCGTCCCTGCCTCCTCCTTCCTTTGCTCCTTTCCCTGTGACTGACCGCCCATCGCAGGCATTGAGCATCTGCGCATCTCCCACATTAAGGCCATTGTCGATGACAGCAATCCCGCATCTTTGCGCTTCTTCGAGAAGCTCCACTTCCGTCGAGCGGCCTACACTCGTGCCTTCCAATCGTGGACTCTGGAGCGCGTGATCTCGGAGCGTCTGTGCCACAGTGACGGCACCCCCCTCGAGGCGGGGGAGCCCCCGTCCGATGGCGATGCTCCAGAGGAGGAAGAGGAGGACGCCTTTGCCTTCATCCAAGTATCAGCCTCCGTCAACGAGGGAGAGGAGGACACTCCCACCGGGCCACCCTGTGGGACGCCCCTTTGCCCGGAGCCCGAGACCTCGGAGGCTATCGCGGCTTGGCGTGAGGAAGTCCTGCTGGCTGAGACGGCTCGGCACTTCCTCGTGGCGCCGGTAGACCAATGGATTCGGGACAATTGATTGGCGGAGTAAAAGGGCCCCTGCGCAGGGGCACCTCAACGAGGAGCTTCGCCCTGTTCGCCTTTTCACATGCCCCCTTTTTGCACCCAACTCTGGCTGTACCCCCATTCGCCCTCTCCGGGCGATGCTTAAATAGAGCACCAAAAAGAGGGCAAGAGAGAAGGATCGAAGCATGGAACCGGTCCATGGCCGGAAAATGCTTGCTTGCTTGCTATGACGCCAAGATGGATGAATATCGATATAAGAGGGGAGAAAGCGAGCGAGCGAGCGAGCGAGCGAGCGAGAGAGAGAGAGCGAGAGAGAGAGCGAGAGAGAGAGGGAGAGAGAGAGGGAGAGAGAGCGAGAGAGAGAGGGAGAGAGAGAGAGAGAGAGAGCGAGAGAGAGAGAGCGAGAGAGAGCGAGCGAGAGAGAGCGAGCGAGCGAGCGAGAGAGAGAGAGGGAGCGAGAGAGAGAGAGAGAGAGAGAGAGAGAGACCCACTGGCATGTCTATTCGCCCTCCCGACGGAGGGCGAGGAGGGAAGGGGGAGAGGTACAAATGCCAGCTCTCGGAAGAGAGGGGGAGAAGGGGGGAAAAGGCGCGAGGAGGGAGAAAGAGAAGTGGGCCGCTCAAGCCAGCTTGAAGGCCACCTGGTCGATGAGGCGATTGATCGGCCCCAGGAACCGGTCACGCCTCTCCCAAATCGGCGTAATGCCGTAGAAGGCCAGCAGGCCAAAGAGCATGCCACCCAGATGGGACGTATGTGAGATCGAGCTCCGGAAGAGCTTCAGCACACCAGCAATCTCGAAGGCGGACGCAAGCAGCAGCATCTCGGGACCCCGGAGGGAAATCCCCGGCAGGAAGATGATGCCGAACCGGGCGTCCGGGTCGCGCATGACATAGTAAGAAAAGAGGGCATAGAGACCGCCCGACAGGCCGAGCAGCGACACCGGGGATCGAGTCAAGGTCTGGTTGAGTGAAAGCCGCACATTCCATCGGGCAACGCCATGTCAGACGGGTGGTGATCGCTGTGGCGATGGAGAGAGGGGAGGAGACAACAGGGCGGGGGGGGGGGGGGGGGGGCACGCACGCTGTAGGCGCCAGTGATGGCAGTGGCCACCGCGGATCCAGACAGGAGTGTGGCAAAGAAGAAGGACCTGCGAGCGGCGACAGCGGGGCGGGAGAGAAGGAGGAAGAAAGAGATATTCAAAACTCAAGTGTCAGAGGAAGGTGGCGGGAGAGAGAGAGAGAGAGAGAGAGAGAGAGAGCAGGGAACATGGGGAGAGAGGGCGGGGGAAGACGCACCGATCATTCCAGAAGAAGGGGATTCGCGAAAGACTGTAGAAGGCAAAGGAGTTGAAGCCGAAGTGCAGAGGTGTCGCGTGGGACACGGTTGACAGGAGCTTTTGAGAAGGAAGAGAGGGGGGAGAGAGAGGGAGAGTAAGAGGGGGGAGGTCAGTGAGGCATGAATAAGGGGAGAAAGGGGGAGGGCGAGAAAGGCGCGCCGGAAGGCATACCGAAGAAGTGAAAGTCGGCCGCGCGGTATTGTAGGTAAACAGCCGGTACATGGTATTCATGTTGCGCTGGGTGGTCCAGGACGCGAAGATACCCGTCTGCACTGTCAGGAAGGCCAGTGTCGAGGCATCAAGACCGAAGATGATCGGGCGCTGGGAGAGGTCCGGAGATGACGACGAGTGGAACGAGGAAGAGGGGGGAATGAGTTTTCCGTATGTTGCAGAGAGAGAGAGAGAGAGAGAGAGAGAGGGGGGGGGGGGGGGGGGATGAAGTGCTTTTAGGGGCATCCAGCATACCTTGACGGCTGGGCGGCCGGAGAGCTGCTTCTTGGCAGCGACAGCACGACCAAAGCGCGACGTGATGGCTGATAGAGGAGCACCAGGAGGATGTCAGTCCAACAATGCGAGGGCAAAGAAAATCATCAAGAGGGATTCGAAGGGGCGATACGCACCAGCAATGGAGTAAAAGCCGATCGTTGTGGCACCGGCCGCAAGCAGCGGACGGAAGGCGCCGGCCATGGGCGACTGGCCAAACTTCTGCCCGTACATCGAGCTGGCCGAGGCCATGGTACGAACCGACACAAAGGGCGTCATCATGGCATTTGGTGAGATGGTGGGGGCCAGAGGGGCGGCCAGACGACTGGTCGCGGACAGCGGACGCCCGGGGGCCGGTCCAACGAGGCCAAGGCGAGCAAAGTGTGACAGCATTGTGCGGCCAGCGGGGGAGGAGAGGGGGATGAGGTGACCGACGGGATGGAAACGCGAGGGGCAGGGGGAGCAGGGGAACGAGGAGGAGAAGTGCTGAGGCCACCGGGGGCTCGCCAGACCGAAGACCATCCCTCCTTTTTTCACTTGGGCATGGCTCCCTGGGTGGGAGAGGGGGGGGGGGGGGGGAGGGGGTGGAACTTCCCAGATCCGGGGATCTTCCCTCCCGCCAGGGAAAAGGAAGAGATGGCCCTCGCACATGCGAAACCAAGTCACACGTCCTGCGTGTCGAGGTGGTACTTTGTGCCTTTTCTCCCACCAGACACACACACACACACACACCCCGACCGGGAGATGTGCGGCGATGGGGAGGACGAGAGATGGATGTCCAAGAAGTGTGGAGCGGAGATCTGGAAAAACTCGATCAGTTTGGTCACGAGCAGACAAATGCTATTCAGCTGATCACGCATGGATCAGCCCACTCTGGCGTTGCTGGCGGCCACCATGTCCCCGCGAACTCGGCCCACGCCGCCGCTCACAGCCCCACACGCGCCCAAGCGACGCCAGCCCGGGGCCCATGGCCGGCCCCTCGGCAGAGAAGGAGCCAGATGCCGCGCCTCAACGTGCAGAGCGCATGCGCGTGTG